TCCTCCCACCTCAGCCTTCCAAGCACCTGGGACTACAGCTCTGCACTGTCACACCGGCTAATTTTGTCTTTTCTTTTCTTTTTTTTTTTTTTTTTTTTGTAGAGATGGGGATAACAGGTCATAGGTAGATTAAACAATTTTCTGATTTGCAATTAGTTCATGAAAAGAAGCTTTGTTTATAAATTTGGGGTCATCAGGAAAGAACGTTAGCTCTGGCTCACGGGAGTGACTCCCTCCAAGCTCTTCAAGAAGAAATTTACAACAAAGAATGGTAGTCCAGAATTCAGTCTTCAGTTCCCCCTTATCAGAGGTCTGTGTGCCACAGATCTGTTTGGTGGGGGTCTGGGTTTCTAAAAAATAACTCAGGAACATATGTTAAGATGTTATCTTTAGTTTCTACAGGGGAACCAAGCATCTGACTCTCACTTCCACTTCCTTGGCCTGTTGTTTCAGACTACTATGACCTTCGTGCTCATCAAGTTGTTAATTTACTTCTTAGGGCTAGCTTGGTGCTAGCCTAGACTAGTCTTGAACCCCCGAGCTCAGGTGATGCACCTACCTCAGCTTCCCGAAGTGCTGGGATTGCAGGTGTGAGCCACTGCACCCCGCCTAGCCAGGTTTTTGGTTTTTGGTTTGTTTGCTTTTTGTTATTTTGTTTGTTCGTTTGGTTGGTTTTGAGACGGAGTCTCACTCTGTTGCCCAAGCTGGAATGCAGTGGCATGATCTCCACTCACTGCAACCTCCACCTCCCAGGTTCAAGCGATTTTCCTGCCTCAGCCTCCTGAATAGCTGGGACTACAGATGCCCGCCACCACGCCAGCTAATTTTTGTATTTTTAATAGAGACAGGGCTTTATCATGTTGGCCAGACTGGTCTCAAACCCCTGACCTCAGAGGATCTGCCCACCTTAGCCTCCCAAAGTGCTGGGATTACAGGCGTGAGCCACCGTGTCCACCTGCCAGGTTAGTTTTTAATTAATCAGCCCATAATAGAAGAAGAAGAAAAGAACATAACCTAAGACAGATTGGCACATTAGTCATTCAGTTCCAACGCTGATATACACATGGCAACACAACCACACACATACATGTGCACACACATCTGACATACACACAGCTACACAAATATACACATACACATGAACACATATCTCTCAGGCAATTCACGTATTCTAAAATACTCAGAGTAATTGATCATAAAGTGTTATCTATTTATCCATCAACCTGTAATCATCATTATCGTGTTTAAAATCCCTACTGTTTCACCTAAAATGTTAAATATTGCCTGTTGTTTTCTTGCTGTCTCTTTCACCAAGTAAGTTTAATTTCAGCTGGCAAAGGAAAAAGTTACACACACACACACACACACACACACGCATACACATAGAATTTCTCCAAGAGTATTGTTAGGATTATCTTACCTTAGAAGGGAGGGTGAGAATCATGAGAAAACTGAAAATGTTAAGATTGGATTTATTGTTTTGCAGAAAGGGAGTAGCTGAAACCCCCTAGTAATGAGCAGAAGCTTTGTTTTCGGTTCTGTGATATTAACCTTTATTTCACCAAGATAAAGCCCACAAAATTAGAACCCTTCACTCGCATTACAACTACATGGGGGTAGGGGGTCCATGAGGAGCAGACCCCCTATGTGACCACAGGAGCAGTGGCAGGACAGAGGACCTGCCAGGGTTGCCGACAGGGACATCCTGGCCCAGACATCATGGACAGGGTCCCCCTTGGCTCACCCGACCAGGCAGAGGCAGGTAAGGCTGTGGGGCCAGCAACGTTCACCACCTCACTCAGGGACAAAGACATCCTGTCCGAGCATGGAAGCTGGAGATGAGGATGAGTGCCAGGTGCCTTCTTTGCCCCCTGTACCCCTAACAAATAAGTTTCTAATGCAAAGACCCAGGCCTTAGAAGTGCTCACGGTGATCAGCACGTGGGGAAGTGTGGGAAGGACTGGGTTAGGACACACACCGACACACACCTAAGGCAACACTGAAAGAGCTCTCCTCCCCATCCCTGAGGACACAACTGGGGCTCCTGCTGATGGGGGCACCCACAGCATCTAAAAGGAAACCACTGCTGCCCTCTGCTCAGCAAAGATGACCTCATCTTCCCTCCAGGAAAAGGGACTCTGGAGAGGCCCTCCCAGGACCCTGCCCTTGCTGCACTCAGCTCCCTGCTGTTTGGATTTCTGCTTCCAAATTGCTGGTCTCGAACTCCTGACCTCAGTGATCCGCCCACCTCAGCCTCCCAAAGTGCTGGGATTACAGGCATGAGCCACCATGCCTGGCCTTAAACTTTCTAATTATGAAAATAACACACATAGAAAAGTGCATAAAACATATATTTATAATTCACCCAATAATAGGAAAAGTCATGCCCACCCACACCCAGGTGAAGACCTAGAGCCTGCCAGAAGCCAAGGTTCTCTCCCTAACCCCTGCCTCAACCCCCCTGGTGCCCACCATCTCAACTTTTACCACAGTCAATTCCTCGCTGTGTTTCATTTGTTCACCTGCATATGCATCCCTACATGACGTATGGTATTCATAACATCTGTAAATTTTTTTTCTTTTTTTTTTTTTGCTGAGATGGAGTCTCACTCTCTCGCCCAGGCTGGAGTGCAATGGCGCGATCTCAGCTCATTACCGCCTCCGCCTCCTGGGTTCAAGTGATTCTCCTGCCTCAGCTGGGACTACAGGTGTGCGCCACCACGCCCAGCTAATTTTTGTATTTTTAGTAGAGATAGGGTTTCACCTTGTTGGCCAGGATGGTCTCGATCTCTTGACCTCATGATCCACCCACCTCGGCCTCCCAAAGTGCTGGGATTACAGGCGTGAACCACCGCATAAAATCCTAAGTCCCCTGCCAACTGAACAGACCCCGCTCTTGGGCAAAAAGACCCCAGAAAAACCTTAAAAACTGAGTTCTCAGCCATGATGGGATGGGAGGTCAGACACGCCTCGTTATCCCCCCTCCCTTTTGCTTGCAGTATACACACAACAACTGACCAGCATTCATGTTAAACTAGAGGCTGTAAGACTGACAGAAGGCTCTGTGGCAATAAGATGCCACATTATAAACAGGACCCAAGGCCATGTCAGGCAAGGGTTAAGTCCCACATCCCTATGCTTTAAAGAATAAACTATTTTCTAACTGCCACAAGGTTCTTCCTCTTCTCTAGCAGCAAAACAAGCACTGGCCATGAAATAAACAATATTAAAGCAATTTGTAACTCACCACTAGACAATGACTAACTGAACCCGCTGTTTCATCAGCCATAACTACAGCTTTGATTGGACAAGAAATAGATTTCAGTAACTTTCCCCAGATAAGAAGACCAACCACCACAGACTGGTTCTGGCCGGTTTACAGAGGCTGCCTTCAGGTCCTGAAAAGATCTTTTCACATATAGGGCCTAATTGTAATACAGTTAAATGCTAAGTCCCCTCCCCAGGGTGGAATAGGTCATAGGTTACAAACCTATGGTTCAATACACATGCATCAGGATGGTCTTCATGAATATTCATAGCTCCTCCTGTAAGCTGTTGAATATGTATGTTCAGCCAACCTGTTGGGCACAAAGCTCCTATCAGCCCCTCCTCTTTGAAAATACCTGTGGGCTTTGCCAGACACTATGCTTCCCAGCCTGAGGAATGGCCCCCTTACAGACTCTAACCCTTATAAGAAACAAAATCTTCTCTCTACATTTATAAATTCATGATTTTTTTAGTTAACACATTTAAACTCTATTGAATATGAAGTATGCAATTATCTTACACACAGATAATGAAAAATGATGCAGTTAAACGAAAAAACACTCTCTTGATTAGAATTTTCATTTTATGCTTATTAAAAAGAAAATTTATGATGTGTGTGCACACAGCTTTTATTATACATTATACTTGTGTATGCATTAAAAAAGAAAAATTAAGCAAAATATTCTGGTTCAGGTAGTCTTAAAACCTCTTCCTAATTGGGCTCCACATTCTCCACATCACTTTTGACCCAGATTGCCTGTGTCTGCGTCTCCCTTGCTGTATCATTCTGTATGCAAAAAGAGTGCTGGCCATTGAGAATTTCTTAGCATAGTGCATCTCCACTCTTTCTGGGCTTTCTTACAGACGGCTGGCAGTCTTAGCATCATAATTACCACGAAAGTCAAGACCATTTGACCTCATTAGCCAATAGGTGGCATCATCTTCAAACTTCCAGAGCCTCATGATAGCTCATACAGAGGAGCTGCTGGTGCCACTGCTGAGTGTCTGGCTGAGTCCAGCTGCACAGCTGGCCTTTTTGGCAGTTTGAGCTGCTTAAGAATTTTTAATCTGTTTTCGTGTCTGTGTGAGGCATCAGCTTGGGTTAGTAAGTTACAAGCGATAAGTATGCTTTTTAATAAGCACAAAATGAAAATTCTAATCAAAAAGTGTCAGTTTAATTGCATCATTTTTCCTTATTGGTACGGAAGATAATGGCACACTTCACAATCAATAAGGTTTTAAATGTTACGGATACAGTATGTTGTTTAGGGACGCATACGCAATATTTAGGAGTGCACTGTGCTACGGATCACGAAGGTCAAGATAGCGGGTTGGCAGGGTGCGGTGGCTCATGCCTGTAATCCTAGCACTTTGGGAAGCCAAAGTGGGCAGATCACGAGGTCAGGAGATCGAGACCATCCTGGCTAACATGGTGAAACCCTGTTTCCATTAAAAATACAAAAAACTTAGCCGGGCGTGGTGGCAGGTGCCTGCAGTCCCAGCTACTCGGGAGGCTGAGGCAGGAGAATGGCGTGAACCCGGGAGGCAGAGTTTGCAGTGAGCCGAGATCACGCCACTGTGCTCCAGCCTGGGCAACAGAGCGAGACTCCGTCTCAAAAAAAAAAAAAAGATAGCAAGTGCCTTTGGAGGTGTGGCAGGGGTGGGAGAAACAGACCCCTGGGCTTCTGTCTAGGTCTTTACCTGGGTGTGGCTGGGTATTCACTTTCACTTACACCATGAGTTATGAGTCAGGCATTCAGGCAGGGCTCAGCTAGGCAGTTCTCCAGCTCCCAGTGGTATCGTCTGAGGTGACTGAGCAGTAATCAGTTGATGGACGGACTGGAGGTTAGATGGGCTCAGGGGTCCCAGAGAGAATGTCCTAGCAACAAACAGGTCAAGAGATTTCACCTGAGTTTTTAACCTTGGTTTCTTCTAAAAGTTCTGTTCTTTTTTCAATACTACTATATAACTTTATACACTTTCCTATTCCCCGCAAATATTTTCAAGCTTGTCTTGATTAAACATAGTAAGATTTATTTTATATTCTACATCTGATCATTTCAACGTCTAAGTCTTTGAGAATCCATTGTTAATTTTTTGGGAGGTGGGGTGGTGCTGCTGATTTTCATTCATGGTATCTTATTTCATTTTGACCATCTTTGACTATGTGCAGTTATTGTACTTGGGAAGTTATTAAGAATCTTTGAAGGCCTAGATGAAGGTATCATCCTTCAGAGTAAACTGGAAATACCTCTTAAGGACACCATTTCATGTCCCCACAACTTCCACCTAACCCATAATATAATCACCTTCTGCTCTCCTCTCCCTGAAGTCTGGTTCTCTTGTGAGGCCATGTTAATGGGAGCCTTCTCCTTTACCTTGAACGCCTTGGGGTCAACAGGTAGAGTTGGCTGTTTCCTCACTTGTCATAAAAAAATACAGCCATTTTTTACATTCCTCATTAAAAAAATACTTGTTCCATCTTTATTCATAGCATTCAGCTAAGTAACACCCTACACCTCAGAGATTTCATCTCCCGAGCTATATTGGTACAAGATTTTTGCACCTGGTTCACAATGTTCCTTTGCATCCAATTTCTGTCATCACTCAGAATGACATCAACATATATTATTCCATCCACTTTAAATTCAACGTGACCACAAATGAGTCCTGCAAAACCTGCACCCAGTCTTCGTGTATTTCCAGTAACAGTGAAATTGCAAATGTCTCAGCTACTCATCCAATCACTCAATCCAGAGGCCCAGACGCTTTCCTAGACAACTCTGCCTTCCAATGAGCACCAAGTGCTTCCTTAATGTTTTTTCCATCTACCCCTGTTCCTGTCCCCACTGCCCCTGCCTATGTTCAGCCTCCCCAAGCCCCAGGCTTGGATGCTGATAAATGACTCGAGTGGCACCTATGAAACAGCTAATGGAGCTCCCCACATCCTCCCACCAGGGCCTCCACAGAGCCGGTATGAACTACAGAAATGGGCAGAATTTTTAAATGGGCAGAATTTCCCCATGATGCTGTCATTCCCATTAGCATTGGAAAGCCTCTGTTTTTTAATTTGTCCCACAGCATGACAGACCCCAAACACACATTTACTACTGGTATAGATATACACATTAAGACTACAGTGGTGACTGTAACAGCTCATGTAAAAGCTGAGTTCCATGGCTTGGGCTGACTTTCTGTGTGGGGGGATGCAAGCCTGTAGAATTCCATGAGAACTGACTTCTACATTGGGTGCTTTTCTGTCTCCTCCTGTGTCTCTCACATAAGACCCATCAATGAATGCTATTAAGTTAACACAGGAACGAGACTATATGATGAATCAGATGGAGGCCACGCGTCTTCATTGAGGGCTGTGAGGTGGTTGTGCTGCTGTCCAGTCAGGATCTGGCACCAGAGTCACTGGGCTCAAAGTTCATACCCTCCTTGAATCCCAGTAGGGTCAGACAGTAACGCTTACAGAGCACTGACAAGCGCTGTGTCATAGGAACTTAAAAAGCAGCAGCAACAGGCCAGGTGCGGTGGCTCACGCCTGTAATCCCAGCACTTCGGGAGGCCGAGGTGGGTGGATCATGTGAGGTCAGGAGTTCAAGACCAGCCTGGCCAACATGGTATCATCCTAGATGATAGGATTCGGCAGGGCTCAGCTAGGCAGTTTAGTAGAAACCCTGTCTCTACTAAAAATACAAAAATTAGCCAGGTGTGATGGTGCACACCTGTAATCCTAGCTACTCAGGAGGCTGAGGCAGGAGAATCGCTTGAACCCGGGAGGTAGAGGTTGCAGTGAGTTGAGATCACACCACTGTACTCCAGCCTGGGCAACAGTGAGACTCTGTCTCAAAAAAAAAATAAAAATAAAAATAAATAAAAGCAGCAGCAACGGCCCAAGGCCCACACAATTGCATCCCTGAGCCAAGGCCTGCACCTTCCCAAGCAGAGACCCAATGTTGGAATGACTTCTGAACAGCCTGGCATCCCTGGAGCAACAGAATCCAGTGGCACTTAAAAGTCAACAAAGGCTAGTGTTTGAGGAAGCACACCTGCCACTAACAGCATCCTTATTCTCCTCACAGAAAAGGGAGAAGAGATGACCAGCTGGGAACTGACTCCAAGTACAGGCAGGAAAATCAATGGCTACTTAAGGATCCGAAGGCTTCTTTAGCTTCTCCTAGCTATTGCAAAAATGCACCTAGCGATGCCTCTCAGAAGAGGCAGGGACCCGTTGCCTGCAATGCACACCAACCTCAACAGGGTGGAGCTGTTTCTCTGCAGTGACAAAGCTATTGCTTCATGGAGCTGTTGCTTCATTTGTAAAACAGGTGGCTTTGGCGACGGAACTATTTTCCATCCATCAGCCACTAACAAATATTCCAAATACTTGACCTCGGTCTAACAATGTTACAAATTATCTAAAGGAGCTTTATGCCCTTGAGAGGTTAGAATTTTGGTAAAGCTAACGTATCTTGTTTTTGTTTTGGGGACAGGATCTCACTCTGTCACCCAGACTAGAGTGCAGTGGTGCGAGCTCGGCTCACTGCAACCTCCACCTCCCAGGCTCAAGAGATCCTCCCACCTCAGCCTCTCAAGTAGCTGGGACTACAGGCACCCACCACCAGGCCTGGCTAATTTTTATGTTTTTGTAGAGACAGGGTTTCACCATGTTGCCCAACCTGGTCTCGAACTCTAAGCTCAAGCAATCTGCCCACCTCAGCCTCCCAAAGTGCTGGTTTTGCAGGTGTGAGCCACCACGTCCAGCCTAATGTGTCTTGTTTACAGGCACATGAGGTGTTACTTATCAATAAATCATACATATATATCCATATATGGATTCCTGAGGTGGGGGAAGTTTCTTTAAGTTCTTTTGCAAATGCCTAGAGATTATAGTAGGCAAATCTCTGAATCCCTGGGGCATGCATTGCCACTAATATGAAAAGCCTTCATAGCTAAACACAAAGAGATACCTTGGTTCCTCTGCTAAAGGTATTAGAAAAGAAAACTCAACGTAAGTTTATTACTAAAATTAGGTCACATAATAGGAGGTTAACATAGTAGCAGGGTTGAGTACTACAACTGTCAGACATACCCAAAATATATTTCTATCAGATCTTATAAAAATTTGTAAGCAAGCTAACCTTGTCGCTTTTCCTTCCTTTTTCATAGGTAATATACAGAGAGTATTACAAGGCAAATGTCATTTCTTTATGATTCTGTTTCTAGTTCTCTAATTACAGGTTCCATTCCCTGTATATTTGAGCTAGGGAGAGGATATAGCTTTACACATGACCATGATTTTTCTTTGGTGTAAGCTACGACAGTAGGGTCGATCAAATGATGGACTTACTGAGTCAAAGTGTTGAAGAAAGACTTCAGCAAACAGGGCCTCTTGTCTGACCGAAGATGGCTACACATCCTCCAATTTGCCCCGTGGAAAGGCTCACTCAAGGTGTCCCATCCTTGTCACCAAATTTGTGGGGGCAGAGAAGAAACCAACACCCAAAGGAACATGCCAATTCAAAATAGAGAATGATTGGACAATTTTATTATTTAGAAAAACCTTGAACGCACTCAGGTAGCTCTGTTGTTACAGAATTAAAGCTACAGTTACTATCCCTTATTCCATTTTTAGTAAACAGCCAGAGGCTATTCAATTTGCATCAGTAGTTACATTGAGTTTACCCTGATGGTCTGATTTTTATAATTCCTTATCAGGCTTACCCTGATGTTCTGTTGTTATCATTCCTTACCACTACCTCCTGTAACTGCCCAAAAGTGCACCCGCACACACGAGGCCATGTTCAGTTTCCCACACTCCACCTCAACAACTGGCACCAGAACCTGCCCAGTTGCTCACGCCAAAATCTCAGGAGTCATCCAGGTTTTCTCTCTTGCCACCCTGCGGCCCCACATCCAATCCATCAGCAAGAAAGAGCCAGGAGCTGGAAAGGCAAGACTCTCTGTGAATTCTTCACTCCGCCTGCACCTGTCTGAGCCACCATTCCATTCCCTCTCCCACCTGCAGCCTGGTGATGTCTCCCTTCCCCTGTGCCTTCCCTCTTTCCAGCTCAATCTTTCTTTCCCTGGGTTATCAATTGTGTAATAAAGATTATAAAATCACTCTATCCCAATAAATATAGCTTCTATCAGTCTTATTGATTGAGGCACTGCAGAATTCTCGGTTTGGAAGGGGGTTTTGCTGCTTACAACGTTTCAAAATCACGGCCAGAGGGGACCAGCAGCCCTTCTGTGGAGAGCAGAGTCAGCTCCTCTTGCACATGAATAAACAACCATAAATGAGACACAGCACATTTGGGCAGTCTTTTACAGTAAGCTTTAAAAATCATATAAAATACGTTTGTTTAAAAAAAGTAATTCAAATCAAGCATTTGCAACATACCTAAGAGACCTCTACGGAGACTTAGTATCTACAAGACCCAGTTTGGCAACTGCCAGCCCCAGGGAATAAGTGAAGTTGCTCGGCACAAGTCACACAAGGTCCTCGCCAACCCACCTCTGCCTGCTCCCCAGGGTTCTCCTCCACCCCAGCCCTCTCTCTCCGTAAGGCCAGCGAGAGGCTCCAGGACTGCCCGCCCCAAATCCTTTCCCCCTTTTCGGGAATAGCGAGACAGTCCAAGAGATGCGGTCACGTGAGGCCGTCCGACCAATCTGGTGTGAGCAGAGGCCCCCATTCGCCCCGGAGCAGGGCCGGGCGGGGGAGGGGGCGGGGCCGGGCCGGGCCGGGAGCGGAAGGGCGGGGGCGGGGCCGGGGAGGGCGAGACCTGGGAGGGAGTGGAGGGGGCGGGGACAGGGCGAAGCTGGGAGGGGAGGGGGCGGGGACAGGGTGAAGCTGGGAGGAGAGGGGGCGGGGACAGGGCCAGGCGGGGACGGGGGTGGCGCGGGGACGGGGGCGGCGCGGGGGCGGGGGCGGATGTTTCCCACATCCTGGGCTGCAGGGTGAGGAAAACCCATCCCGGAGGAAGCCGGCGGTTAGGCTGGCTGCGGGCATTCTGCATGATGAACACAACAGTTCTCAGAAAAGTAATGATGTCATACCAGAGCACCAAGAGGGGGTGGGCTGTGACCATGTATGCTTGATACATTCTGGATTAAGCAAAGTTAGGCCAGCTTCTTTTTCACTAGACGTCTTGGGTTATTTCCGCCGAGGCTGCAGCCTGGAGCACCTCCCACTCCTTCTCCACAGGGGTTATTTCTGAAGACCCCTTCTTGGAGGAGCTCTGCGAGGGCCCTGTGGCCGCGCACCTGCTGCCCTGGCCTCCTGGCCAGCAGCTCCGCGAGGCTCTAGTGTGTATGGCCTGGGCTGCCTCCCGGTACTGTTACCGCAGGTCTTGGGACCCGTGCCCGCCACGAGGCTCCTCCGGAGGCAGCCCTGGCCTCCAGCTCTTCTCACATAGCTCGGGCGTCCAGCCCAGAGCCGGGCACTAGTGCCTTCCCTGTTCCCTAAACGCTGAAAGTTGTTGAATGGATCTGGACATTGATTGGAGTCAGGTGGAAAACATTCAGTATGTTCTGTTTGGGAAATACTGAAACGGGCAACACAAGATAGAAATAACTACATCGGGAACAGCGCAACTTTGTAAGGCCCGCGCTGAAGGAGGCAGCATGTGTGTGGGAGCGCCCGGCGCTGCCCAGAAGAGCTGGACTGCCCAAGGGAGGCGCTGCCCAGAGCAGAAGCCCTGAGCGCCCGGAAACGGGATAGCGTTATCTTTAAAGTAGGCGTGGGAAATACCTTGCTTCTCTGTAGTTTTGTAGGTGTATACACAGATACTCCTTGACTTACCATGAGGTTACATCCCAGTAAACCCATCCTAATTTGAAAATACCATAGTCAAAGATGCATTTAATACACTTATCCTACTGAACATCATAGCTTAGTGTAGCCTGCTTTTAACGTGCTCAGAACACTTACAGTTGGGCAAAATCCTAATTTATAGTTAAATGTTGAATATCTCATGTCATTTATTGGATACTGTGCTGAGAGTGAAAAAGAGAATGGTTGTATGGGTACTCGAAGTAAGAGTTTGTGTAGAATGTGTATCACTATCACACCAGTAAGAAGTCAAAACATCATACATTGAACCATCCTAAATTGGAAATCTGTGTGTGTGTGTGTGTGTGTGTGTGTGTGTGTGTGTGTGTGTGTGTGTGGTTTTTAACTGATAGGCAAGAGACATTTCCTAGTGGCCTGTTTAATGATGCTAAATTACCTTAGAGTACTATCTAAAGTACTATTTAAATGAGACACTATTTAAAAATTAGTTTAAGCGACAACTCCAATAAACATGGGTTCATCTTCCAGTCTCTTATTAATCATGTTCCAAAAAGAATTGAAGTTATCTACCTGAGGCATTTTGAAATTTTTTTCAATGTGGTTTTATGATAGTTATTTGAGATTACTCGACAGAGAGAAGACCATTTGTTATAGTTTGTCTACCAAGAGAAGTTCCAAGTGTACCCCTGTTAAATTCCTTGAAAAGGAATATCTTGGGACAGACACTTAAAAGGAACTGAATTGGGCCCTGGCCAGTCATCAATTTAAAAAGCTCTAGTAACTGAGAAAGTAAAATTCCATTTGCTCGTATGCCTGTCTTGCAAAGATCTATCGAAACTCCGTGTTCTATTGCCTTTCTTTGGAATGAGAGCTGGAGCAGCTGACAGGGAAATCAACTGGTCTCCACCCTATTAATGCTTAATTAACATCGAGCTTGCAAGCATGTGCGTGCTCCCACAGGAAGGAGGCCTCGTGTCAAGAGGAGGGAGCCATAAGCACTGGCTGCTGGAGGGATTTTGCAAGCAGCCCTCATGGATGGAGCCCAAAGGTAGAACGCAGTCACCAGTACTTTCCGGGTGAACGTGACCCCTGCAGTGTCAGGATGAGCCATTCGCACCACCAGTTTCACAGCAGAAGGGTACGAGGAGCAATTCATGTGTGGTTGCACCTGCCCACCTGCCCGAGGTGGTCAAGGAAGGGGCAACATCACAGGACCACCACTGTGAAGGCTCTGAGAAGTCATTTTTGCCCCCTGCCACTGCAAAGCTCAGAATTGTGAGAGAGTCAGAGAAACTGCTGTCACCACACATCCCGTCGGAAGTGACCATAAGAGTTTTGTCTCTGCTCCAGGACAGGAGGCCCCCACGATGTGGGTCCAATAGGTGGGTGGTCCCTATGGTTGATGGTCCCTAAGTGGTGAGGTACTATTTAAAAATTAGTTAAAGCGATCACTCCAATTAACGTGGATTCATTTTCAGCTTCTTATTAATTATATTCTTATTGAATACTATTTATTATTTCAATGTGATTCAGTATTTCAACCATGGTAGGATCTCACCAACCGCAACATGGTTGAACCCCTTCTGGAGGGACCTCAAGGGCGCTACCATAACCAGTGTCCCACTCCCTCAGTCCATGTTCAAGGAGGCAACACGGCTATTTGTTGCCCAGGAGAAGCGGCTTTGTGCACCTGAGTGGGCATTATCCCCAAAAGTGGCCCATAAATAAGTCAGCAGCCGCCCCTACCCCCCTGCCCTGTGATGGTGAGCTCCTAAGGGCGTGAGCCTCTCACGCAGCTGGAGGGCTTGAACAGAGGCTTAGCTGAGTGGGCCATTTCTGTGGTAACAAAGGGCCAGAGAAGGGGCCATCAGGCTTGGAGAGGGCTTACATTAGACAGCAGAGATGAGACCAAAGGAAGTGGGGGATACACGCAGCCCTGACACTGTGGGCCTTTGCCTGTATGCTGCCCTGCAAGGGACAGCAGCTTCCTCCACCTACAGTTCCTGCAAGCCTCCCTTTTTCATGGGGTGCTTCCTTTGGCTTTTTGCTTTTAGGTTTGTTGTGTTGTGTTTTGTTTTGTTTTGTTTTGTTTTAATTTTAAGGAAAACCAGTTCAGAGCATGGGTTAATTTGCTAAAGCAATCAGGATGGTTCCTTCTGGGATTCAGGGTGGAGGAGGCCATAGAAAGCGTGGGCTGTTCAGAGGCAAGAGGACAGGAAGTGGGCACCATGAGAGATGGAGGGAGGGCCTCATCCTGAACATCCTCCAGCCCCAGCCCGCAGCATTCCTGCAAAACTCTTCCTGGAATAGGGGCCACCCTGAGCCTCTGTCCCTTGCCCCACATAAGCTCAACCTTTACCAGAAGGACCACCAGATCCACGTTTGCTGGAGGGGGACACCTCCTGTTGGCTTGGACCCCAAGCAGGATGGAGATCTTCCCGCCAACAATGCCTACGGCACAGAAAGCAGAGATGGCAGGGCCAGGTCATGAGGCTGAGGGGACAGAGATCCTACAGTGTTCACTGTGCAGAGGGCATGGAGCTCCAGTGAGGACTGGGCCCCTAGAGGCCACGCAGGGGCAAGTGCCAAAGTAAAGAACACCAAGACCTAGGTGGGCCTGTAGCAGGAAGCTGGCATCCAGCACCTCCACCAGGTGGGGTGTGGGGCATGAAAGGACCCAAGGAGCCGATGCAAGGACAATTCCAAACAGGCCACAACTACTCCTCTTGTTCCATGTTCTGATTTCCCAAGAATGGTCCGAGTTAACATCTGTCTTCCCAGTGTGATTTCACTTGCAGAGTTGTCCTGGTTAAGATGATTAATCACATGGCTCTCTATTTAAGGGAGATTGGCAGGTTGTTCATAGAGAATATATTAGTTACCTATTGCTGCCTAATAATTATCCCAAAATACCGCAGCTTAAGTTCAGGCGTGGCTTAGCTGGGCAGCTTAAGTTCAAGGTCCTTCATGAGGTCACAGTGACACTATCAGTCTCACTGAAGGCTCAGCTGTGTCAGGGGCTAGGGACCACTTCCACGGGGTCCTCCCATGGACTGCCGGACTGAGGACCTCAGCTTTACACCGTGGCAGTGGGCCTCTACACTTTGAGCCACTTTGGTGCCCCAGCACAGTGATCAGGAAGGGAGAGAGAGAACAGGAGAGCCCAAGACAGCCACAGTCTACTTATTACCTCATCTTGGAAGGGACATCCCATCATTTTGCCATATTCTATTCACTGGATGTGAGTCTCTAGGTCCACCCCACACTCAAAGGGAGGAGATTACATGAGGGCTGAGAAGGTGGGATCATTGGGGGGCATGTTAGAAACCGCCGACCACCCTGAGTAAGTGGGCTCTGGGCTCAGAACTTACCCAATGGCAGTGCTTTGTGCCATCCTGCACTGATCCCCCTTGATGCTTCTCACCCCTTCCTGCTCCATCTTGTTGCTATTCCTCCTAGAGTTGCAGATTCAAGGAGCCTCACCAGTGACGGTGATGATCATAAAACCCAGACTGCTGGGTGCTATCTGGACACCAAGGAGACAGAGGCACATAGCACCACCCAGGACAAGCACTGAAGTTGGACTACCAGGTTCAAATCCCAGCTCCCCGCCTTTAACTGTGTGGCCCAGTCTTGGGCAAGTTATTTCACTTTTCTCTGCCCCCTGTCTATCAAGCATGGTGGTTAATAGCGCCTATTTTTCAGAACCACAGTGAGAATTGTGGAGATGCTCCGTTTGAGATGTATAGTGTTCTCAGCTTACGGGCAGCATCAGTGAATGGTAATTATCATTATGCAAAACTGCGTTCCCCAGCAGGAGCAGCCCATGAGACTGGATTC